AAATCGATATTGCTGATGATATTCATCATGATATTAATATTTTCAATAATATTCACCATAACGTTAATATTGTTTATGATATTTGTGATGGCAGTGATATTGATAATTCACAATGATTCATCAAGATATTGATATTCATTATGATATGAATATTTTCAATAATATTCACTATAAAATTAATATTCTTGATGATATTCATTTATGCAGTGATATTGGTAATGATATTAATCATAATATGGATATTTTTGATGATATTCCTGATAGAAGTGATATTGACAATGATATTCATCATAATATAGATATTTTTAGTGATAGTCACTATAATGGTAATCTTCACGATATTTATTATGAAATCGATATTGCTGATGATATTTACCATAATATAGATAATTTTTGTGATATTCATTATAATCATAATACTCATGGTATTTATCATGAAATTGATATTTTAAGTGATATTTGTCATAATATCAATATTGATCATGATATTCACCATAATATTAATAGTGGTGATATTTATCATGACACTGATGATGATATTGATATTTATCATGATTTTTCCATCTGTCTAAAATTAATTTTTTATCACTGTAATAAAGCATTTATCAAAATGATCGTAAGGAAACTAATAAAAAATCAATATCAAACTTGAAATGATAAATGAAAAGAGCTTTAATTGACTGTAAGTATATAAGAGTGAAAAAGTAGAATTGCAGTACTTGTTTTAACGTTTATAGTATCTTAAGCGTTGACAATGGCGTCTATAAACACCGATTGTCGACATTGTTTTGTGTTATTTATATTTAACTTTATATTTATTTATTTTTTATTTCCATTAGTTATTTTTAAAAAAAAGTTTAACTCTTTTTGTTGAGAAACAAACGGTACTTCTCCCAAGAGCCTAAGGTATACTCCTGCTTCACCGGAAGAGATTAGCCGTGGAGAAAAGTTTCCGTAGGACGTCGACCATCCAAGTTTCACGAGAGTTTTCAAGTTCTTCCTCCTTCTCTTCCTCCTAACCCCGGTCTCTTCGCCCTCATTTTCTCCCTTATTCTTTCTACGCTTATATTCTCGCTCTTTCATCTCGTGGCATCATCACGACGACGATCTGTCGCCAACTGGCTCGGTACTTTCCAACACAATACTGATATTTATTTTGTATTTTTTTTTTTATTTGGTAAACTTTCATGATAATTATTTCGAATTTTGTTTTTAAGAGAAAATTCAACTGATAAATTACGATCCGACGATAATTAAAGTCAAATAACGCTGCTAAGCCTTAGTCTCGAAAGATAATAAACTAAACCAACACACCTATGTTATGTTGTCAAATTAAATCCCATACGTGCCTGATTCATAAGCAAATTAATAACACAAAGTCTTCCTTAATTAGAGAATCGCTTTATTCTCGGGTATATCATGTCATGGATCTTCATCTTTATCTAGATCTACGTCTTCTTGTTTTATTTCTTAGGTATAATAATACAATCATAAAAAAATTAACTTTATATAAGGAAAATATCTTTAAGAAATTCAATATTAGTGTTTTTGTTAATATTACTTCTTGCTTATTGTAATTATTAATTATTATGATACCGTATTTTGAAAAAACAAATAAATGTCATGATAGATATCACTATCAATATCAATGCCATCATGAATATCAATATCAACATCAATGCTATGATGAATATCATCAACAATATCAGAATCTTGGATATCATCGAAAATATTAATATTATGGCGAACATCATTAAAAAATCTATGTCATGATGAATATCACTATCAATATCAATGCTATGGTGAATATCACTATTAATATTAATGCCATGATGAATATCATTATCAACATCAATGTTATGATGAATATCATTAACAATATCAAAATCTTGGATATTATCGAAAATATCAATATTATGGCGAGTATCATAAAAAAATCTGTCATGATGAATATCACTATCAATGTTATCATGAATATCATTGTCAATATCAATATTATTGAGAGTATCATAAAAAAATCTATGTCATGATGAATATCACTATGAATGTCAATTCCATGATGAATATCATTAACAATATTAATATCACGATAAATATTATTAATAATAATATCAATATCCTGGTGAATATCGTTGAACATATCTACTTCATGTTGAAAACAGTTAAGAATATCATGATGAATATCATTACAAAAGTCATATTTTGAAGAATTTGATCAACTTGAGTCAAATAAAAATATTCCTGTACTCAAAAATGGTTTTTCGTTTAAGATTCAAGCTTTAATTAAATTTTACTTAGTTCAAGAATTTTTCTGCTTCATTTAAAATAATCAATCTCTTTAAAACAATGTTCCCCGTTTAAAATTTTTTCTCTTGAATCAGGTTAATTTTTTTTTATCACTTTTCAAAATGATTTTAAGAGAAATTTTGAGATTATTTTCCAATAAATATATATTGAATAATAAAAATTATTTGTTGTATTGAAAAGCAATTTATTATTATTATTTATGAAATTCTGTTATCAATGTATGTGTAGAATTTGTTATTACGTAGGTAAATGTCTGTAAACAAGTTTTATTAAATCTGATTTACATACAAGTTTTGGTAAGTTGACTCAAATATATATGTCATCATAATAATATATCCGGGTATAAGTTTTGTCAACCGATTTTCCATATATGTATCGTTTACCGCAACTTTTATTATTATTATTATTATTATTATTATTATTATTATTATTATTATTATTATTGGTATTATTATTATTGTTGTTATTGTGATTGTGATGCAGTTAGTACTTTGAATGCAATAAAAATCGAGAGTTTGAAAAGGAAGTTAAGGTGTCCCGGTATAAAGTACACCAGCGTGTATATAATATCAGTGTAGAGTATGAACGGTCATAACTTTATTTCGCCCCAGCTTTCTCTCTACCAGTCTATATAATAGTTTATATAAAGATTTATTGGGCGTACAGTGGACACGCTATTTTGGAGGTTATTTATATGAAAATGTCAGACAGTTAAGTCGTGGATATAAGCAACAATGAATTGCACCATCGGATTATAATTTTATGGAAATTTATAAGAATTTTTTTTTGTTTTGATTTGTTATCATGCATAGATAATTTTAACTATTCATCAATTAAAAAAAATTAAAAATAATAATAATAATAATTAATATTAATAAATAAAATTTTGCTTTATTAAATAATTACTTTTGTTAAATTGCACTGTACTATCTTAAATATTGACATTTTCAAAGATATAACCTCATCCCGATGTTATACTCATCAAGAGCTTTCATTTGAGTACCTACATGCATTGTTGATATATTTTTCATATATACATATATATAATATATATAAATATATACATATATATACATATATATAATATATATAAATTTGATGTGGGTACTCAAATGAAAGGTCTCGATAAGTGTAACTTCAGGATGAGCTTATATCGTTAAAAATATCATTAGTGGACAAAATACAACGTCATTGCATCATTATTCACATTTCTAAAGATATAAGCTTATCCTAATGTTATACTCATCAAGAGCTTTCATTTGAATACCCACATGCATTTTAATATATTTTTCATATTTACATATATATAATATATATAAATATAAAAAAAAATTGAATGTGGGTACTCAAATGAAAGGTATTGATGAGTATAACATCGGGATGAGCTTATATCTTTAAAAAATGTCTATTTTTCATATATACATACATGTAATATATATAAATATATGAAAAATTGATGTGGGTACTCAAATGAAAAGTTTCGATGAGTGTAACTCCAGGATGAGTTTATATTGTTAAAAATATCATCAGTGAACAAAATACAACGTCATTGCTTTATTATTGACATTTTTTAAGATATAAGCTCATCTTGATGTTACACTCATCGAGAGCTTTCATTTGAGTACCCACATGCATATATGTAATATATATAAATACATGAAAAATTGAAAATTGATGTGAGTACTCAAATGAAAGGTGTTGATGAGTGTAACATCGGGATGAGCTTATATATAGATTACAATAATTTATATGAAAAATGAACATCAAATTTACTATTTATTTTTCACAGTGTCTTTATTATAATTTATATAATAATAACAGTAAAAAAACACAGGAACTATATAATAATTAGTGTAAAATTAATTTAAAACGTTGAAAGCATTTAGTTGGTGTTAATATGAGATTTAAAACTGTAAAAGAGTTGTATCTCGAGGGCGGAAGTGGGTTAAAGGAAGAGCATGAAGAGTATGAAGAGGATGAAAGGGTGAGAGTGTGGGAGGATTAGAGAGCGGAGGGTGAGAGAGTGAATGAGAAAATTCTCATGAGACATCACGATCACGACGTTATTCAGCCACTTGCCCGAGCGTTCACGAGTTATCAATGGTGTTGACGTAACCTAATTTTCCATGGCAAGCTGGTAACGACGTTTTGCCCACGCAAGTGCGCCATAGACTGCCTCCAGCTCGCGCTATATCGAAGCGGTTCGAGGCGAGGTTATCGAGCAAAATTTAAACTACGGATGACGAGCGAGGCTCGCTAATTCACCTTGATGGATTTTCATACTCATCTTATAACCTCCATTCTTATTTATATAATAATAATAATAATAATAATAATAATAATGATAATATAATAAAAAAAATTTTTTTTTTCAGTGTATGTAAAAAGAATAAAAATTTTGTCTCCATTTAAAATAATTATTTATATTATATTATGAAAATTAGCAACCTTGCAGTTACTATGTGACTATCGTGACTTCTGATATATAAATGAATAAAATTTTACTTTATTGAATAATGACTTTTGTTAAATTGCAATGTACTTTCTTAAATATTGACATTTTTAAAGATATAAGCTCATCCTGATGTTACACTCATCAAGAGCTTTCATTTGAGCACCCACATGCATTTTTGATATAAATTGATTGGGCTAAAGATGTTGGTCTTGAATTAAATTTTCAAAAAACTAAGGTTATGATACTGGGTAGTAGCAGGAAATTGAAGTGGCTGGATGACTATGATCTTCCTCAAATTACTGTTGATGGAAATGTTATTCCATATGTCAATTCAACTAAACATCTCGGGGTTCATATAACAAATAATCTCTCTTGGGATGTACATGTGGCTCATACCACACGCAAGGTTTATGGTACATTAAATAGCCTCAAGTCTAGGAAGAACATACTGTCTACAGCAAATCGTAAATTGCTCATTACAGCCTTGATTATCCCAATAATTGATTATTGCTCTTTGGTATTGATTGACAATTCCAAAAGACTTGACTATAAACTACAGCGCTTGGTGAACAACGGCATCAGGTTTATCTACAATTTGAAACGTGATGACCATATCACTCCTCATCGTCGCTCCTTAAAATGGCTTTCAATCAAATCAAAAAGACTTTATCTTTTAGCCTGTTTCTTATACAAATTATTCAGTTCTGGTGAACCAAGTTTTTTGAGATGTCTTTTTGTTGATGAGCCACAAGACATCAGACGCTCGGAAAGGTTGGCTTCAAAGTACAACAATGTCTCTTTCTGCTTTCCAAATTTCTCGACATCAGTATACGAGCACTCTTTTTTAATCTCATCAATACGCCTTTGGCGTGAAATTCCACCAGATGTCATAAACTCATTCAGCATAGAGGCATTTAAATCAAAAGCCTTTGAATTCTTCTATGAGCTTGAACTCAGGGAGGCCTAGGGATCAAAGTCTGCTAATTCTATTTCTTAAAATAATTTACATTATATATTGATATTTACAATACAAAACTATACTGCTCTGATCTATGATTATTTATATTTTTTCTTTTTTTCTTATACTGTTATATTGTGTCAAATCTTTAATTTGAAAATGACTATGTTTATGGTTTTACATGTACTTTAAATCATATTTCTTTTTTATCTTTTTTTTTTGTATTTTGCCATTTGGCTTTTGCTTTGGCATTGAAATTTAAATAAATAAAATATATTTTTCATATATACATATATATGTATAATATATATAAATATATGAAAAATTGATGTGGGTACTCAAATGAAAAGTCTCCATGAGTGTAATTCCAGGATGAGTTTATATTGTTAAAAATATCATCAGTGGACAAAATACAACGTAATTGCTTTATTCACATTTTTTAAGATATAAGCTCATCCTGATGTTACACTCATCAAGAGCTTTCATTTGAGTACCAACATGCATTTTGATATATTTTTCATATATACATATATATATAAATATATGAAATATATGAAAAATTGATGTGGGTACTCAGATGAAAGGTCTTGATGAGTGTAATGTAGGGGTGAGCTTATATTTTTAAAAATGTCAATATTTCACAAGACATTTGTTAAGTTGAGCTGTACTTTCTTAAATATTGACGTTTTTGAAGATATAAGCTCATCATGATGTTACACTTATCAAGAGCTTTCATTTGAGTACCCACATGCACTTTCATATATTTTTCATATATTCATATATATATAAATATATGAAAAATTGATTTGGGTACTCAAATGAAAGCTCGTGATGAGTGTAACATCGGGATGAGCTTATATCTTTAGAAATGTCAATAGTTCAAAAGATACAAGGTAATTTCTTAATTAAGTATTTATCGATAGAGCATTTTTTGAATGAAACTTAAATACTTATCATCATAAATTGACTATCGGTGAGAATAATATGAAACCTTGAAAGGCGCAAATTCAAATCAAGACCTTTGCAATGACACTAAATTTATCTGGGACACAAAATTTTTTTTTTATTCTCTTAATAATAATAATTAAAAATAAATAAAATTAACAAAGTATCCTTTATACAAGTTTTCTCGTAAACTTATCGGATTATTTACAGTTTTGTTCTTCGGGATTTAGCGAACTATTTCTCAAGTTTTGTTTTTTATTTTTAAGGTCTTAGAAAGGTAACGAAGAAGTAAAAAAACAAAGGTGAAATTGAGTAATTAACTTTGTTATTTGATTTCGAAAGATCAAGTGCGAAAAGAAAATTAATTGGGCAAGTAAGGGCGTTAAAAGATCCGAAGCTGAACACACACACACACACACACACACACACACCAGTACTTTAAATCATTTTCAGAAAAATCAACTACTCTGTAATTTAATTTATTATTCAAAATACATTCCCGTTGGTTTCGTGGCCTAATTACTTGTTAACGATGAATAGAGATCGTATCGGACAAGATGTCACTAGGAAATTATTTTAACTTATCTTAAAATAAAAAAAAAAAAAATTTATAAACGATCGCTTAAAGTTTCCATAAATAATTTATAAAATTGTGATTAGAGTGAGTGGCAGAAAAAAGACGTGCAGTAAAAATAAAGACAAATGTAAGCTTATAAGAGACGGGGCTCTCGAACACATGCAGGAACGAGGAAATAAATGAGGAACTTTGTCCTGAATAGATTTGCAAAGGAGGTGAGAAAATAGCGTTTGCTACTACCGAGGAAGCTTGACAAATGATCTGTGCCTTAGGCAAGACTTTATACCAGACGCGACTTGGCGTCTCATTTTTACTCGATTGTGCCGCCTGTCGCCCGCAGTTCATTTAATAATTCCGTCTTTTTCATCCTACAAACGCTACACTACCGAAATACGAGAGCTAAACTTTTTTAAATTTAATTCAATAATATTTGAAAACATTTTTTTTGTGCAGAAAAATTTATTGGAGTTTACCTGTGAGATAATAAAAAAATTTATTTTTGACAGTAAGAAAAATTTAATAATATAAAGATAAATTTATTATTAACATAAATATTTTTTAAAGTCTGTATAGATTAAATAAAATTATTATTAGACATATTTTTATTATTAAAATATTATTATTATTTTTAAAAATGGTATAATTTGGAAAAACTAGATTTTTGTTTATTAGAAAAAGTGTTAAATTAATTTTTTTGATTAAATTTATTTTTTATGGTTATTTTCATTTCAAAATATATATAGAACACTTTCAAATAACAAAAAATGACTGTAATTAAAGTAGATTTTTACAAATATTATTTAACTATTTTTTATTAATATTGAACTTGAAAAAAAAATTTGACATTAAAAGCAGTCACATAGTGACTACAAGGTTGCTAGTTTTTATTATAATCTTTTAATAAATTTCAATTAATATATAAAATATATGTATTATATTTACGAAAATCACCAATAAATTAGCTATTAAAATATATTTTTCAAACTGTTTTTATTTTTTTAATTTAAATGTATCAAACTAAAATTATTTTGGTAGTTGACTAAAATAAAAAAAACATATCTAATAAGCTTCTTAGAAGAGTCAAAAAAAAATTTTTATTTTATAATTTAATTTCCTAAATTTAACTCTCTTGTTATGAGAATTTCAAGCTATCACGCGCCATCTGTTGGAATTTTTCAATACTACTTTTAATAAGGAAATTATATGCGGCTATATATAACCATTTGAGGCCTGACATTAATGATAATAATAATAATAATAATACTTTTTAATTTATTATTATTATTATTATTATTATTATTGAATAAATAAAAACATAATAATAAACAGAAAATTTAAAGAATTGAAATGAAAAAAAAAAGGTTTAGTAATAATTCACATAAATAAAAATTTATTTACATTAAAGTATCAAGCGAAGCAATGCATTTCTAAAGTACTCATAAAAATGTTAAAATATATACATATTAAGATGCCCGGGTCACAGAAATATAAGTATACATATAGTATCTATACAAACGTACACCTATAACTAGGAGCCGTACCAAGAAAAAGTCGGAGAAATAAAAGCAGTAAAGTATTTTGTATTTTATTTTTTATTTATATTCCATTTTATATTTTTTCTACAGTTGTAGTTTCTCCTTCCTCCTTGCTGGTATATATTTTATTCATACCGCTTTGCATGTACAAATATGTACCTGGTTGCCGCCTTTTCCTCACCAGACTTACCGAGTATTTCTAACGTACAAATGTACGTGAATATATTTATTATGTCGCTGCACAGTTGGCTATTGAATCATCCAAATAATTTTCCGCATATCAATTTTTTTATTCATTTATTGTCGACTTTTTTTTTGAATAATAAAAAAAACTAAATAATAATTACTAGAAATTTTATAAAGTGAATTTTTTGTTTACTAGAATGTTAATTTTTTTAAATTTACGACCGCGATATTAATCCCACTTAAATTATTTCAGTTAAAAAGTTTTAGATATATTAGTTATAGTGTAGTGCGTGTGTACGAGGAGGCGCAATGCACGGATGCAGTAAAAGCTTAAGCCCAAAGATAATTAACGTGGAATGCGCTGATTAATTTAACCGTTATAATTACAGTGGTGGAGCTATTAGTAAGAATGTATTATCCAATGGGTCTAATTTACGCCTGGCTTATTTTGTGCTGTAATACACTATTGCGAGTGTTATTGAAAAAAATATTTTGATATTTAACTTCTGTTTCAATTATTAAGGTAAAAGCCCCAATTTTGACGCTATAAGAGACAAAGTTATGATTTCATTTTTTTTAAGCAATCAAATATAAATATCGTTGAATTTTCTTTGTGGTTATGTCTTGAGTAATGTTTTAACTAATTAATTTCTTTTTTTAAAATAATAATCAGTGATATTTACTAATTAATTTTAAATAATTAAATAGATGATCTGGATACACCAATTATTGACGGGTTAAAAAACTGATTGATCTAATTATTGACGTACCGTAACCCCAATTGTTGACGCCCCTACTGCGCATGCGTCGAATCATTTGGTTATATTCTTATTTATCAAAACTTGATATAAAGTAATCAATATTATTATTATCATTATTATTGTTTTAATTAATAATAATTGTTTAAAACTTATTTAACACCAAAACACGCCGAGTTATTTGACAGTTAAAAACCTTGTATATGATCGCGTAACGTATTTCATACTTAAAAAAAAAGCGTCATGGCGCTGTCGACTGGCTGTCAATATAGGATTCACCATAAAAATTATAAACTAGTCATTGACTCCCATTATTTAAATATTATAAAGCATACAATTAATTTCGATTATTTAATTTTATAAATATTTCATATATTGTTAATTGAAAAAAAAATAGATCATATAATTACATGAAAAAATTAATTTAAACTCGGCAGTTAAAAAAAATGCTTTTCTAACCAAAGTTGTTTAAGAAAATAGACGCTCGTAAGCTGATTTGATGAACTGGTGCTAACTTTATTTTTTTTTAATAATTAATATTTAATATTTTGAACTGAAAGTGATTTTTTTTCAACTGTTTAATTAATTAGAATTTAATAAAAATTTATTTGATCAGTATTATTATTACAGATAATTTAATATAATTAAAAATAATTTAGGGTGTCAATATTTAGACCCCCGTCAATAATTGGGGCTTTTACCTTATGACGCCACAATATTAGGAAGGATTTTCTGTAATTAATAGTTAGTAATTTTTAATCACTTACTCGCTTGAGTACGTACTACAAAATTTAGGGATTGAAAGTGGAGTTAATTGATCAATTGATTCAATCACTCTTGAGTAAAATTTACTCCAAGAAGAATTTTATATTAATATTAATATTTAAAAAAAATTACATCAATATTTATTTTAATTTCTAAAGTAGAATTTAAGATAAATTCTCTCTATTTAATAATTTTAGTTTGATATAATATTAGAACATTTCTCCTCAGGAATGAAATGCCCTC